ATGAGATCACCAGGCTTCGCGGTCTTTCTCCAGGCTAGCACGCAGTTTTGCCCTGAGATTTTTACCAGTCTCATTGTATTCGCTTCCAATCGGAATACCTCGGCGAGCATTGATAAGTTACAGAGACTGTGTACAGACCAAATGTCCAATTTGGTAATTTGATTTGCCACAAAAGAGCATGCCTGCTGATAGTAACGTTTGGCGAAGATGCATCTAGTGATCTTCGACAGTGTTCAGTAAGCGATTACTCAGCATGGATGTCAGCGCACTTTGATACACATTCAGAACATCTGGTTTCGTCAGCTGGCTGGTGTCAATCCGTCCACATCGAGGTCGTGGGCGTCCAGCGAAACGTACCCGGAGGTCGGCGCAGAAGAGTCCAGAGTTCATGCTCGTGCTCCATCCAGATCGAGCGACAGTTTTGGACACAGCCTCTCCAGCGGTAACTGATAGAGAGATGATCGACTTGCGTCCACGACTGTTGGACGTCAATTCACGCTTCTGCGGGTGCTGTGTCGAATGTTTGTGCTCGCGAGAAATAGACGAGCATCGTTACAGAGCTGTAGTAATCACTTATCGTTATCATTACGGGAGCCTACACCGTGTTGACTGTCCAGATGAAGCTCATCAGAGAACAATTTTCTGACTTGGGAATTTAGCTCGCCAGTCAGTAACGTAGGCGATCTTTAAGTTGCTGATAGAAACCGTCTTTCAGCGAACCAGTGCTACAGTTTGTAGGAGCGTAGGTTGCAATGACAAACAGGCACCGTTTGTTCCCGCGCGACTTCATAGGATGGAACGAACCATCTAATCTAACGGCGCACATCCGACTGTTGACTGGGATCCAATCGATGAGGGCAACTTCAGTCCGAAGACTCGAAACAAGGCCGATGCCAGCTTGACCGGCATATGAAGCTGCATCATCGCCAGACAGGCGCAATGAGCATGTGCTGCCAGTGTCGCATGTGGGGGACCGAAGCGAGCACGGAGCACGAATCGTGCAGGCGGGTTTTGATAAACAGCAAATATCGATCCATAGGGTCTCTAGGGTGCGGGCAAGTGCTGTCTGTCGGCCAATCTGTAACGAAGTGCACACGTTGAGGCATGCCAGTCTTAGCGAGGATCGAGGACTCCAAAGAGAAACGGATGAACTGACGTTGTCCGCTTGGTTGAACATGGAGTTGTCGACTGGACTGGAACGACGCCCTGCCACTGTGTGTAAGTTGAAACTAGAAGACAAGCGACTAGTGAAGCAACGTGAGGGAGGGCCAAGAATTGGAGGATTGAAAATGGGGGGGGGATAAAAGAAAAGTTGGAACGGGGCGATAAGGATGAAAAATCGCAGAAAGAGGGATAAGAAGACGGGGAGGCCTGAGCAGTAGCGTCCAAACCCCTATCCACCATGCTCGATGCAGCAGAGAGGGCACGGTCGATTAACCTCTGCGGTGGCCAGAGCATCAAGAAATTGTTGGAAGAAAGATTCATTGTATTGTGTGGGCGGAATACTGTCAGGTTGCCCTGGCCTAGACAGACGAACTATTACGGTTAGCAACCAAGGACCTTGGTTCAAAAACGTTACCGCAAGGCAGCGGGGTTTTGGCACTGAAGTATAGAAAGCCCGTTTTATGGAGTAAGGAGCCACCCTCACTCCAACCCCAACCTGGAGACCAGGAGACTGAGTTTGTCTGTCCTCTAACCACTAACCAATCTGGTATGAGTGGCTCTGAAAGCGCAAAAAACACCACCGAACATGGTTCAATGGATCACTGAGACACACAAACCATCGCACCACGTTAAGATCCAGGCTCGTCGCGATGGCGGGATCGGCAGTGCAAGCAACTGAAGACATTCTGACAAAACAGACACAAAACCAACAGCATTGTGCGTTAACTACATCGATCAAGGTTAGTAAGCATATCGAACCTTTTTGTTTCTTTGGGTTTGATGTTTGGTCCTTGTTGTTTGTCTGTTTCCATAATCCCTGTTACTGAACATAAGGATGACATTGATTTCAAAACCGCATGATTGCACGTGGAAACCAAAAGCCATGTCGCTGAGATCGAGTGACGATTCCTTGAGACCTTGGATGTGTGACAGTCAAATGTAACTGTAACTTAATCCTTTCATTTAGCGCCTATATGCACCAGGATTCGTACTGAGAATACTGCCCTGTACTCCTTATGGATTTAATCGTTCGCTAAACCGAAATATCCGTCGCAACGAGACTGGACCTTAACGTGGTGCGACGGTTTGCGTACGTCCTTGACCCATTGAGCTATATTGCGTGGTGCCTCCGGGCCCGTTGAGAGCTACTCCTATCAGGTTGGTAAATGTTGAGAGGTCACAAAACCTCAGTCTCTTGGTCCCCAGGTTAGGGATTTGAAACAGGATGGGGTACATTTCTGTAAAACCAAACCACTGACACCTCGCTACCTTGCGGACAGATTTCTGAGCCAAAAGCTTTAGCTGAGGACCATAGTCGTCATGTACGGACCTGGAGATTCCACCGTATGACGGCGTAAACTATATTAAAATCTATTAAAATTATAGCTTTCTTATGTATTAGGGAATGAGGTGGTTTGCCTGCTGGAATGTTGATCCCGTTTGTTTGGAACACGAACACGATATCTGTCTTTGGCGAGCGACTCGACTGCAAACGACGCTCCGTCCACGCACTCGATGCCCAACTGCATCCTCCCTAGCTAGCTCTCTTCTGGTGCTCTATTTTTCGCATTAGCTAACTCTCCTCCAGTCCAATAAACTTTTTCCCTAGCTTAACCTTTGTGTGCTCTGCCTATTGCCTTTGGTTGGCCGTCTAGTCTCGTACCGGATACATAGCGCACAATCCTAGCGCTATAGTCCTCCAGTCTTGCTCTAGGCGCCCTGGCAGTATCTCAGCCCCACATACAACCATGACATTTTCTTCAAACATAAACTTCATCCTGCATCGGCCGTCGCGCAGATTATCAAGGGTCGCCTTATCTGCTGCATACAGCAGGGCGGATAAGCGAAAACATGCCACTGCTGGCGCCTCCCTTCTTTCGTTTCCACCTTTTTCCCTTACTCCCATCCCGGCCACCATTACTAACCTTCCTTCTATAATTCCCAGCTTAATTGACAGCAACCGAAGTGCCACGAGTAAAATCATCCGCAGTCACCTTTCCACAACAACCATTGGACGCCTCTCGGCAACAGCCCCTTATAAGGCCACGCTGTCCCGTTTCCATGGCGACATTCAACGTTCGCACTCGAAGACAAACAGGTCAACAGGCTGCACTCGCACGCACCTTAGACACACTGAGTATTGATGTGTGTTGTGTGTCCGAAACTAGGATCAACGACCCTAACGGGGTTGTTGAATTGACTGCGCCTAGCTTGTCCTCTTGCTATTGATTGCATGCATCCGAAGAAGCTGATGCAGCACTCACGGGTCAAGCTGATGAAGGTATCATTCTCAGCTCCAAGGCTGAGCCACTGTTGATTGATTGAATTCCGATGAACAGACGTTTATGTGCAGCCCGTTTGACGACATCAGCTAAGGTTGATTCACGAAGTAATGCAAAACGCTGTTTGTTTGTTATCTCCGCTTATGCTCCCACCGACTGCAGTCCCAATGCTGTCAAGGACACATGCTATGACGAACTGAACGCGCTACTACGCAGTGCTACTAGTTCAGATATTATAGTACTTGCAGGGGATATGAACGCACAAGTAGAGCGTCTGAGCTCTTCAGAAGCTCAACTGGGTGGTAATTGTGGGCTTAACTCCGAACGAAATGACAACGGTGAGCGTCTGCTGCAACTGTGTGCGGAACACCAGCTGCTTCTTAGTAGCACTGCTTTTAGACACAGTGGACGCCAAAGTGCCACTTGGCGTCCACCTGTAGCTGGCCAGCGATGGACCCAAATTGACCACATTGCCGTAAGTTACAGATGGCGGGGTTCCATCCTGGATTGCCGCTCGTACTGGAGTACCTGTGTCGACTGATCTTGCCTTAGTACGCCGTCGTTTCTCCATGAAGTTTACCGGGAGGCGTACCAAACGTCCCCTACGCTTGGCAACTGAGAAATTGTCTCAGCCCCCGGTGAAGCAAGCCAATCATGACGCACTGCATACCGAACTTTCGCTGTCTTGTCCTAATGACACTGAACTTCAGTGGAATAAGATCTCGGCTGCCATGCACCACGCAGGAGCATCTGCTTGTGGCACTATCAATCGCCACCGCACCAGTCACTGGATATCCGAGAGGTCGGTAAACCTGTTGGAATCCAGAAGAAACCTATCGCCTGGCTCTGACACAATGTGACCATACGGACTATAAGGCGCAAACTAAGGCGGAGCCTACGTGCTGACAAGGAAGCCTGGTGGACCAGTTGGGCTTAAGAAATGGAGGAGGCAGGAGCAGTAGGCACTTATCGCAAGCTCTTCCAGCTAATCCGCATAACTGGTCCCAGGAAACCTGGCGTCAGTGAGACAATCAAGGTCAACTTCAGGTTGAACCAGAACGATAGGAGAATCCTGTGAGTGTTCTTTCTTGAATGAATCGTTGAGACAAAAGTTAATAAGGTGCTTCGATGTCTTGATGGATCTAAAACGACACACCTCAAGCATACGCTGATCAACCAAGTACTGCCCACGTTGCCTGCACTAGCAGTCCTGCCCAATTTAAAACTGAAATTTGAGTGACCGATGTGTAATCAAAAATTACCACACCATGACAGCCAGGGGCACACGCATCATTCATTTGCACTGACTGAGGGTACGATTATATTAAAGTGAAACTAGTTGTATATTAGAACCGGCGGTGTTAACGATGCAATTAATGATATATTGTTGTATATGCCTTATCACACTATTTATCTTTTCGTTCTTTAAAGAGTTATACGAGTGGCCAAAGACTTGAATGGCTGGACGTTTACCGGTGCCTACGGGAAACAGTCATGATACGGTTCGTAAAACAGGTGTATGAAAATGTAAAAATGAAATATGAAGAAACCGACCTAGAGCCAGAAGTTTAATAAGGTAATCGTAATCTTGGTCTATAGAATCTTCTTGACGAAAGAGCGAATCACCCATTCGGAGAGCGTCCGGTTGAGGGTTCCGAGGGCGTCCGTATCCAAGGCGTACGCGGGTCGTAATAGACCAGTGGGGCTGAAAAGCAAAAGTGGTGCTTCGTAGGTGGCTGGACACTTATATCACAACCACCTAGTAAGAGTCGGAGTTGGATGGAGGGTGTGCCTGCTTACACCCCGTGGCGACCTGGACGACGCTGTCACAGCTGCGGATAGAGCACTGAGTGTGAGATCAGGCCTTCACCCGACGAACGTCCGTTTTCGTGTGATAGTAAGCAAGCCAAGGCCCAAGGCACTTCAACGTTCAAGCTTCTTCACTTCTGCAGAGACAAAAAAGTAAGGGGAACTTCTTATAACTTCATGAAACTATTCATGACATCCTATAGACCAAGGGATATTTGGTACTAATTGGAATCCACTAATCTCAGTGCAAATACGGAGACATAGTGCACCAAATCATATCTAGACTTCTATATTAGTACATACCACTAGTGCATGGGGAAGTAAGTTCCATCTACATACTACGCGGTTAATGAAAGTTTCACTCGTACATCCGGTCTTGACCTCTGCTTCCTGGGCTCCAGATGGTGTACCCACAGGTGGTCCGAGGTGTTTAGTACAAAATAATAAGTAGACTAAATGCCACTGATACTATTTCCATGAGGTTTCCCCTGATTCTGCGTCGTTCCAATGAGAACAAGCCTAGAAAATGCAGGCGGCCAACATACGACTTTTTACGTCGGCCTTCGATCATTCTGGTGGCCACACTTTGTAGCTTCCCTAAACAAACGTCAACCTTTCGTAGATACGGTGCCCAAGTCTCAACGCAATAGTCTAGGTGCGGCCGAGCCACCGCATGGTATAAAAGGAGAAAGACGTCGAATTTAGCATTACACAACGTTCTGCTGAGGCGAAAATGTTCCTGCCGCGCTCTGTTAGCAGCACATAGGCACATAGGACAGAATCAATTTACCATAACGATGTCTAAGTCTCTTGCCTTGTCTACACACTGCAATGTCAGGGACCCAGTGGATGTTTGCATCGCAATCCCAACGTTACATGATGGTAGCAGTTGACATTGCTTTGTGTTCAATGGCAATTGTCATGATGTAGACCACTGCCACAGTGCCCAGATCCTTAGACAACTTATCCCTATCCCCCTGGTGACAAGCCTTATGTCATCCGCAAGAACATAACAACGGTTCTCGATGAGTCGAGCCAAATAATTTATATACATAAGAAACGATAACGCTTTCTGAGGGACCCCGCTATGAGCAGTGCCTATGCTAGATCTGGCCTCAATGATTCTGACACTGGACGTTCTGTCACAGGGGAAATCCGACAACCAAATCAGCTTCTCTAGTAAAAAAATGATGACTAACCGAGTCAAATGCTCTATATAAGTCTAAGCAGCAGACCTTCATTGGAACACCGATATGGAGCTATTTCGTCCAAGGAATGCAACAGGTTGATAAGACATGACTTCTTTTAATGAAGCCATGCTGTTCCGCTCTAATTAAGTTGTTGACAACTAAGTCTACATAAATTCGGTGCCTAACAAATTTCTCCAGGCACTTAAGCAAAGTACCTGTCAGACTGACTGGCCTATAGTTGTGTGAAGCAGATTTGGAGACCTCTTATGAATTACCATAACAGTCGCCTCTTTCGAGTCATGTGGTTGCCTACCTTCCTGAAGAGGACAGTTGAACAGGTCCAAGAGGGATACTGTAGAATATCAGCCAGCGGTTTAACAGTCGCTGGATGAACATTGTCAGGGCCTGCCGGTTTATAGGAGTTTAAGCCAGCCAGCACCTCAAAGACCTCCGAAGCGGTTATTACAAAGTTTTGCCTTTCAATGTCACATGAGAAGTGAGACTGCGAGGGGATTGCACAGCCAATGTTCATGCAGTGCAAATATTGAAAGACACGCAATAACACCGCCGTAGCTACATCGTTCACAACCTCACTACCATCCTACTTAGTCAGGTTACCAATCCCCGCCCTCAAAGAAGCTTTCGACTGTGCATAACATTAATACAACTACGGGTTTCGTTTTGCATTCTGAGCTAAACTGAGTTCACAACGATACATAGCTCGTCCCTGCAATTTTATTGCACTGATCCGTTTATCCATTGTCTGAAGCCTCCAAGTTCCTGAAACATATTCCAACAAGAATTACGTCTCTGAAACATTTAGGCACTTTCACGTCGCCACCAGAGGGGCTTATTACTGCTTCTATCGGGACACGAGTAGGCGAACTCATCCAGAAATTGTACGAGGCTAGACATAGGCATGCATTTGTTCGAACATGACCTGTTCTTGAGTAGGAACCCAAGGGAGCTGGAGGACCTTGTTCTGCCAATGACTAATATCGATTAAGGTAAAATTTCTCACAAGTCGAGGTTTTGATGGTGGCTTCTTTACATTCACTGAAAAGATAAGAGCACAGTAACCACTTCTATCTATGGGGGCCACTGCACGCATCTCTGTTACATGGTTATGCCTAGTGATCACGACAAGTGAAGTGGAGGGGGTAGTGCTAATTCGACTTCTCGTCGGAAGAACAAGGTGTTAGACGAACGCATTCTCGTGTATTCATCTAACCAACTCAAACTCTAAAGTACCTGTCAGGTTGATAGAGTGCTCCCAGTCCGCAGTTGGAAGATTTATATCCCCAGGTATACAAAATGCCGCGCAGCAACCGCCGCCTTATCCTCCACTTTCGTGGGGGAAGGGCTACGGTACACACAGAAGAAATTTTCCAATCTGCCATCTACCCTAAAAGCAAAAAACAATCTAAGCATTGGACGCTGTCACAGCAAATGTAGCTTTTCAGTGCTTGTGACTGTTTTTAACAAACAAAGCAAACCTCCACCAACGTATTATCCGGGTCGATCCAATCTATGATTAGAGAAACCCACCAGTAAGTCGCTAACTTGATCAGTAAACGATAGCTAGGTTTAAGTCAAGGTGACAACATCGGCGAACCTGCAACGTAGAGTCAACGCCTAATACTTATTCCTGGCGCTACGGCAGTTACTGTATCATACCAACGGACCCTCACTCTGCATCTTCCTTCTTTCGATTAACGATCTTTTATAGTTCCCCTCGGATACAAAGCCCGAGGGAAAAACCCGTTTTTGGAATAGTTTCTGGACCATCCCCCAACCAAACAACGTGGGTTCCAGGACGGATAAGGGGATTTCGGAAGCTCTCATGAGATATATCCTTTTGTGTCCGCCTAGTCTCACTTGTTTTGTTAACAAGGTGCACAGTCGATTTTTCGTAGGCACCTTATGACCTTACTATTTTTAACCGATCGACTGCCAATAAAATCAGCCTCAAACGCTGCTAGGCTAATCTCAGTAGCGACCAACACTCTCCTACACTCAGCCATCGAAGTGTTCCCAACTGTTGAGGGTGTCAGCAGAACCGCGGTTGGGCCAGAAGTTGTACATATTACTGCTCGCCCACGTTCCGTCAGATGAGAGTCTGTGGTCCCTACCCCAATATAAGTTTTGGCAACGAGAGCACGAATCAGACTGATTGGTACCGGTAAACATTTTGCGTACACACATGAGTCACGTAAGTTGTCTTTTGATAATTGTGTGGAACAATCGTAAGAGGCGACGTCGACTACTCCCGAAGATATATCGGTAACAATGTCAGCAACAATTGCAACTAATGACATTTGACAGTCATCCACCTACGAAACCTGAACAAGAGGCCCATTTACTGGTGCGGTGGGTACAGAAGTACCGTGTCCGGTACTACTTGATCATCAACAGCAGTACATCAGCCATTTGAACTGATGCTTCGCTGCCATACAACCATGAGGACCTATGAAATAAAGAATAAGAAGAGGGAGAGAAGGGGGACTTACCTGAAAACCTTAATGTCCTATCAAACATTCACGGTCAAGGCGCCTACACCTTGTGTTAACAACATACCGTCACAAACAGCTGGCTATCGTGCAAAGATAAGGCAACATCGGCGAGACAGCTTCCTTGCGGCTTTCACTGCCACGCGTCATAATCAGCCATTACCCCGCAGATAACTCAGCACTAAACACACTTTAAACAGACAATCCGATTAGGAGAGGGCAGCAGACGCGCCACTGGTGTCTACTGCGAGCCATCTCCTGCAAAGTCTCGAGCCAAGCACAAGATGATTCACGTGGACTCCAACCCGGAAGACGAGACGGACCAACGGCACCCAGTTTGGTTGTCAGTGACTTCATTTCCCGCTGCCAAGTCAACTTCTGTCTACCTCGAGCCTTGCGCCATCCTACACCTGGTAGACTGAACAAGGCCCTCCTAGGTAAGCGGTGACCAGGCATACGTAGCACGTGCCCGAGCCAACGCGACTTATTCAGTGCTATCTGTTGTTCTAGGTTGCTAGCATGATTATCACTACCTAGTACTCGCCTACGCACATCGTCGTTGCGGATACGCTGATGCCATCCGACATCAGCAATGCTTCGCAAACAACGATGATCAAAGACTTGAAGGCGCCTCAGATCTTCAGACCGAAGGGGCCAAGTCCCACTGCCATAGAGCAGAACGGCCCTCACTGTGGCCTTGTATACACGGCCTTTCAGACGGAGGGAAACTCCCTTCTGTCGCCAAAGATGCAGCAGGTTCAAGTACGCAGCTCTGGCCTTTGCAATGCGTGAGCTCACGTCAGTTTCTATGCGCCCATCATTGCTGATGCAGCTGCCAAGATAAGTGAATTGATCAACCACCTCGAGTTCCTCGTTAGCAAGCGTCAAGGGGTCATCGAGTGGCTGGTGGTCCTGCAGCAACACTTTGCACTTTGAAGGTGCGAAGTGCATACCAAATAATGGGACCACTCTGGACAGGCTATGCAGGGTTGATTGCGCCGCCTCAACATTGTCGAAAAGCAAGACGATATCGTCCGCATAATCTAGATGAACTAATCTTTCACCAGGCAGAACTTCAACGCCTACATCGTGGGATTCCGCAAGGGAACACTCCATGATAGAATCCACTACTACTACTACTACTACTACTACTACTACTACTACATGATATCGGACTCTGGTCCGGCCTGTTACCAAACCAGCACGGTTGAGCAGTAAGTCACGGTAGATCGGGGCTCTTGAACACAACTAGCATAGGTCTTGCGAGACCATTGTGGTGCAATGTGTCCGCCTTTCTCCAGTCACTTACTCAATGGATGCGTTCGATACAAACATACGGTATCCCGACATTACCCACTCACTGCACTCACTTTCTATCCAACGTCCGCCGAGCTTTCGTTTTCCGTTCAAACGCTTCCTTTTCATTGTAGATAAACA